TTTTCTTGTTTCCACGAAAAAGAGACATACTAATAAATACATTTTTCATAGCCCAACATGCCTTCCCCGTGACAACTTTAAAGTTAAAAAAGCCCTAGAAATTTAATTTAATATAAATTCGCCGGTGGGGTTACGTTTTGTGTTACAACGTGAATTTTTATGAAATTTACATTTATATCCTTGTCCTTATCTACGAACCATTTTGTTACCCCCATGGGTACTTTCGGAATTAACAAAAACGACAGCTAGGCGTTATGTGACATTGGGCGGGAAAACGGATTTAGAACGAAGGGGATGTTCGTGTACGCTGGGGTTTACGTTGCTATGGTGCGCTATTGAGATCGTGGGATCTGATGGATGTAAGCTAGACACGTGGAGGTGTTTGACTTTCTTGATGACTAATTGACTTTGGAAGTTACTTTGTACGATCGTCGAACTACGTGGACTTGTAACCCAGATCTAGTCTACCATATTCTTTGCGTAGGTGAAAGCGAACACGACAAACGACGTCGTTTTTGTTTGACTAATGTATACTGCATTTTAATGGGTACGTAAACTTTCGGAAAAAATTTATTTTACAAACTATAGTAGATTATTTTATTTTAAAATTAAAAAATCTTTATATTGTATTTCGAAAAATTTCACAAGCTTTAAAAACTTTCACAAGTGTTAAGAAACTTAATTCCACATATTTTCAGTAAATTAAACAAGTTTTAAACACTTTTCTTTTATAAATACACATTATTTCAAAACATATTTTAAACCATGACTGAAAACATTTTCAATAATGTAAATGTGTTTCAATGTTAAAAAAACGTTTTCTTTTATATTTCAAAACAAACATTAATTTGTGAATTTTCACATGTTTTGAAGTATTTAATAGATTATTGGAGACGTGCATGGGTTATCCATGTTAAACAATTGGTGCAAATGGTATATACTAATAAATTCGTCCAAGTCATTCCTCTAATTCTACTGCAAAATAGAAGAGGAACATTTTCTTTCAAATTTGTTCATTTTTCCAATTTTTGGAGTGGAATAAGTCGAATCAGTGTTCCACTCTTTTCAACTCAAATAATGTAATTTTAGAAGAAGGTTAAATTCCACCTATTTTTACTTAACACAAATGGTGTAATATTAAAGAAATGCTTATTTCCACCAACTTTTGTTCCTATCTATGTATAACCATTTGCACCCAATATTTTTCATCACTGACTAATGATTAATGAATTCTTAATTTTTTTGTAATATATAAATTTAAACCCTCATTTGAAAACCCAATCGTGAAACATAAAACCCTAAGTCGAGAAATAGAACCCAAATTTTCATTTTCATTTCTTGAATGTAAGGAGAAGCTTTTTCTTAAGGGAAAGAGATAAGAAGAAAAATACAAAATTTGGAAAAAGATATCTCAAAAAGAAGAAGAAGAGAAAACTGTAAGAAATGATCGAGAGACATAAATAAAGAAAACTTAAGATATAAGATCAAAGAAGAAGAAAATCACGAGAAGTGGGAGCAAACGTCGTTAACTACAATTTATACATCATAATTTCTCAATCTTTAAATCCAAATTTGCATAGTCTACAAACCATACGTAATTTAGGCCAGACTCCAACAGATCAGACTATATTAATTAATCTACTCAAAACATCCTTAACTACAATTATTAAGACAAATTGTTAAATATTAAGGATCGCATGTAATTTAAAGAGCATGAAACTATTGATTTATATATATTTATTTTGTTCATCTCATATAAGAGAGATATTTTCTAACCCCCCACTGACAAGTTAGGTGTAGGTTGAATCCAATCTTTATAGATGTCAAACATTTTGAAAATGAGTGCTACCTACATATAGATCTCAACTATTAGTGGCTTGTGGCTAACCACTCGCTTGATTTTTTTTTGTTTCTTCACATTTTTGCAAGTGTATATACATCGGTGATTGAGATTTTAATTTAAGTTTCAAAAAGAAGAAGACATTTAAACCACGTTCCTGTAAAACCGAATGAAGAATTTG